CCTTCAGGGATCCTTGTCAATCCCACTCTTACGCTACTCAGGTAAGTCTTTGACTTAGGCCACAGCTAGTGAAACGAAAAGCCGAATTGTCTGTAAGAAGCAGGAGAGCCGAAAGAATGAGCTAAGTGCTCTCAAACAATTTTCCGAAAGCCGTCCAAAATGCTGCAATCGCATAAAAGGTGTGATTTTCAGGAGTTCAACCGCCCACTGATTGGCTGAAAGACACTCGTATAGAGTTAGACGATGCCGGCTTCATAAAAGTGGACCGCTATTTCAGGGTATGTTCAGATCGTTCCGTAAATAAACATCATCAACATCTACTACGCCAAGTGTATTGAGTGGTACAGTAACTGGAGACTGGGGAAGCAGTAACTCGTTCCTGACATGAGGACGACCCACAGTCACACGTTTTTAGCGAATACAGTGAACTTCATCGTTTAGCGCGCCTTTTAGAAAGAAAGAGCACAGAAAAAAACCTTATAGTTCTATCCAGCGAGTCGTTTCGCAGAGTCGGAAGTCAGCTCTAAATTGACCGCCTGAAGGCTCATAGACAGGCAACGTCCTGCCGCTGGGTAGAATTTTCGGAAAATACGACCTTTCCCGGAACTTCCTGCTTCTTTTCCAGTTTTCCTCAAGATTTTGCTGTCGAGCGAAGGAGAACGGCAGAAGTGATTTGCCACTCCGCCGCACGCGGCGATTGGCGCGGCGTTTTCTTGATTCTTGTCAGCGGGGGGGGGAGAGTTCGCAACGAGACCCTTCCTAGATGGGGTGAGGGAGGAGGGCGGTCGTACACCACCATTTCACGCATCACGATGCTGTACCCTGTCTACAATGCCTGTTATCGCCATCACGGCATGGAACCATCGTCATTTGCGGGCGCGACGTCGCACGCGAGGCCCATCAGCGCGGCGAAATACGAGTCTCTTGTTACGTAGCCGTCGCGGGCAGGGTGCAGCATCGTGATATGTGAAATGGTGGTGTAGACAGGATCCCCTCCCCACTTCCCCAACACCCACTACCAACTTCCCACATTTTCCAGTTTTTCACCCAACGGTTTTCTGTTGAGGGGAGGGGGGGGGTATAGTCATACGAAACAGGGAATATCACGCGAAAGGTCGACAACCGGGAAAAATTTTCTCCCAATACAGAACAATCTCTTGAAGGCATATACGACCCTGTACCCTGGGCGCGCGTGATGTTACACACCCGAAACGGGAAAAACCGTGAAAGGTTAACAACCGGGCAGAAAAATTTGTCTTAGCGTCGCAAATTTCTCCTAAAAGCAAGGCAAAAAGGTAAAAAAAAATTCTTCTCAAAGGCAAGGTAAATACGGCACACAACCTCCCTCCTATAGCGTCCATGAAACAGGACAAATCAGCTATCATAAAAGTTTCTCAGACCGAATACGACCCACTCCCCCGCTGGGATTCCCTTGTACGACGTGGTCTGTCGTAGATCCGATTCGTTTTAGATCCCTTTGCAAATTACCGTACCGACTTGGAGGTTTTGTTGTGATTTCGAAGAACTCCGGTTATCGCGGAACAAAAAGAACTACGTTCTAATCATGTAAGCCTTCATCAAGAAAAAAGCGAAAATAACGATAAATTCAGACTTCTGCTGACTGGATCTATGCGATCGGTGATGCTGTCAAGGCTCCGTTGGCTTTGTGGGACGTAGACTCCATGAATATTCAGCATTTCCAGTTGGCTCTAACACATGGCAAGTTTCCTAATGATCTGGTTTCATGGCTGCCAAATACTCTTATAAACAAACCATTTATAGGTCAGATGCTCGGCTATTCAATTATGGGCCGTCCATTCCCACATGAGATAGTGCCATTCTTCTGGACAAACTTCTTCGGCGAATTCGGACTGCGATTGTCAGGTGGGTGTGAAAATTACAGTATGAGAGTAGGCGTAAAGCGTTTACAGTGGAGGATACACTCAAAATCCCTGAGATACGCTGGGTGGCGGCGGCTCGGCTTTTCGTAAGACATTTGGTTTTTGGGGTAGTTGTAATCAAGCCTCTATCCAACACAGAACAAAATGACAACTACCTCACTTTGAAAAATCGCGCGAGTAACCCACACTAATAACCCATGTTCAGATGCTACGCCTACTCAGCTCCTGCCACATGGAGTTTACTTTTTGGCGTGGCGCCAGCCTAATTCCATGGGTGCTGCCCTCCCGGGCAACGACTGGGGGAAATTGGTTGGTGTTGCGCCGAACCAACGCTCATTCCATAACTGACACTACTACGTCGCAGTCATATAAAGCAGAAGGAATCGGGAGATGAAAAGGAATCAGGGCTCTTGGGCTAAGCACCTACGATTCCTGATTTCCTCCCCTCATTCGGCCTGTAGATCTCTTCCTAAAGCAGTGAAGGGGCCAATTGCCCCCACTTCTCCCCAATCAGTATGAGTCCAAACTTTATAACAGCCTTCCCAGTGTAAGCGATCGAAGATATCGCGCCATTCGGTAATTACTGTGACCGCATTACCTAAATTATTACGGCAACGTATTGCGTGGAATTTTTTCTCTAAGGCACTTGGCACGATAAATCCCCAAGGCAAGTAGGATTGATACGCCTGGCAGGACGGAATTCCGCGCCCCTGAGCAGGCGCTGCGTAGCGCCTTTTCCAAGGAAGGTACCCTTATAAGGTCCTATCAAACTGCAACATACCGACCCGAACGCCCACCGCGACCGTCCATGCCACAAATAGACCACCGTATGAAATGATATTGTTTCATTTGCTAAGTAAAACTTGAAGCGAAGGGCTTGATATGAAGCGTCCCTGCATAGATGTACATATGGGCACATAAGCGCAACCCTACCTAGCGATTATTGGCAAGATGCCTACGGGAAACTCGTCCAAATTGCTTTCTGACTCATTAGGAACAAAGGCTTTTCTTCGCAGTGTTATATTAGCACCTCTGCTACCATTTTATAATTGAAAGTCTAAGCAGGAACTCTTCAAGGCGTTCTATCCAACCCTTGTTGTTTAGGCTGCTCCAAAATAGCTGAAGAGGAGATTGTTCACGGTGATCTTGCCGAGCTGAAATTTGCTAAGTACTATTTGAAGTAAGTTGTGTCACAAGCGTTCTCATTAGGGTGTGGGTTCATGTTGAAGCAGATGCCTCCTGGTAGGACCTGGGACCAGGATCTTATTTTATGCTAAATCCTCACAGTGTGTCGGGTATACTAGCTGGAACTTGTTAGTGAAATGTTTGCTTGTTCCTTCTTGCGTCGCCGCAACGCGGATTTCCTGACCGGGGCTCTTACAGGATACCTTTTCCGATCGAATTTTGGAAGTAGTTGTTTTTTATTCTACAGTTTTGCAGTGTTGCGATACTGTTTGTAAACGCCGCACTATGTTTCGAATTACCTACCTTTAAACCTCGATGCCTTTTTACCAAACATGAATCGCATCTAATGTGAAGCCGTTCCAGGGATGGTGTCGTTGTGGCTGTTGCGAGTGCTGGTCCTGTTCCGACTGCGATACAATTTGAAGAGCTGTTCAAACGAAAAGTTCAAATCACCCGTGAAGACGTGGAAAAGTAAGTTTCTCAGAACAACGTAAATGCAAACAATATTCCACTATAACTGGACATTCTGTACTCTACATTACATTTAACATTCATCTGAAAGACACTTCCCGCGATCAAGTGTTACGGGTATTAGGTGCTCGAACAATAAACAGTAGCCTCTAAGTAACATCCCAGCAGAGAAAGAAGCGAATAAAAACCTTGGGAACACCTGAACGGAGATCCTTTT